GCTGCGGGGGGCGGCCCGGCCGGGCCCGGCCCCGGGACTGCCCGCCCCGCCGAGCCGGCCGGGCACCGTCCGTGCGCGGCCACTCACCGCGGCTGTGCCTTCGCCGCTCTCCCGAGGCGCGCTGAGGAAGCCGCCTTCCCTTCCTCTCGCTGCCGTTTGCTCTCGGCGGTCCTTGTGCTCTCCTGCGTCCCTGGACGCCCGTCCGGCCCCTCAGCAGGGATCACCGGCAGCATGGCGATCTCCTCGAGAACATCCTTGCCTATCTCCAGAAGCAGGACTTGGCTAAACACACGTACACTCCAGTGCCGTGCATCTACTGGCGGCTGATGGCAGCTGCTGAGGGAGCGTAACCACGGGGTAAACACGCCGCTGCCTCTGCTAGTACTGTCCCTCGGCTGGATGCTGTATTTTAGGTTTAACAACTCTTCATATTTTTTTTTTCCCTCCACAAATTTCCTGACTTTGTTTTTAGGTACAGTAAAGGTTTAACATTCGTAGTGTGCTGTGAGTGTTCCAACGTGTTTCTATGTTCAAAATGTTTCTATGAATTTCATTAATTCTGCTTTTAAAGTGGTGGGGAGTCGTGAGCCCTTTTTCCTGGTGATTTGTTCACTTTACATCTGTGAATGCCAGATAAGTGCAAGATGCATTAGAAAGGTTAAGTACCAACAACTGTCCAAATAAGTTTCAACCACTTGTGTGTACAAATGGAGCTTGTGGTGTTTCAGGATGTATGTGAAAACTAAAACAGGGACTTGCTTTCTCACAGCAGGTCAGTTTGGGAAAAATCAGACTAGAGGACTTGACTGTAACATAAACACGACTCTCAGTGAGGGGAGCTTATTTGAATTGCCTGCATAGAGAAAATTATTTGGAAGTTTCATATATGGCATGACATTTCACTGGGGTTCATGTGAACAACCAACCAACTCAAAATTTCTTTTTGCCTAAAATTAAATGTCTGAGTATTGTGTACAGGTAATGAATTATGTGGTGTAATTGGGTAGGTTTTCATCTTGCTATTTAATTTTTTATGCAAATAGTCGTGGAGTCAGCAAATGGTTTTTCACCATTGAGTCACTTGTTTCTCATAAGACAAATGTGTACATGTAGTACCTCTTCATAGACATCAGTGTCTGAATTTTCATTCCTGTTTTGTTTACTTTGCCATTTTAACACAGTCCTGGCTGACATTAAATGACACAGCTGAATTCAAATCGTTTCCTTTGGCTGCAGACACAGAAGAAAGAAAGAAGAAAGAAGACCATGTTTGAGAAAAATGCAACAAGTAGAAGCCAAGAGTAGGCTAAGAATAAAAAATATCTTAAAATACTTTGATGCAGATCCTGCAAGCAGATTTCCTTGTACAAACCTTTAAAGAGAAATCACAGAGAGCTGGTGGTGATGGAAAAACCCAGTGTGAACAGTTGTGGCCTGTAAAAACTGTTTCTTCTAAGGCTTTGTGTATCTGAAAGGTTGAAGACAGAACGCATCTTTGCAAGCTGCATCACCATCTTCACTCACAGGTCACACCTCACATACCTACAACAAGATACCAAGTTTGTGGGAACCCTTTAGTAGTACAGTTTGTCTTCTGACACAGTAGTTTTCACCTTGCACAAGGGATAAAATAAGCTGTAAAAACTACTTAGGTAATGTTGTTCTGTATTTTAACCATAGTGCTTTAAACTTACTAACTTCATTTTGTCTTCTAGCAAGTAATTTTTTCTTTTTTTCAACACTGGCATATGCAGAACTAGTTGCAATCTATACAGTATTAATAAAGAAAAAAACTATTAGCTTTCTAAAAAAGCATCTGATATTTTGACAATAACATCTGTAAAAAACCTCTTAACCTTTTAAAAGAGGTCAGCTCCCCCTGTCCCGTTTCTTTAATGGTTTTAAAGGTAAATAACCCCTTTTAAGTTATTGGGCAAGCCATAATTTATCTAGATTTTGTCTGTGGCACTCAACCAGAAAGCAAAAACTCAGATACATAATCTCTGAGGTAATTCAGTCTGAGAGAAGAATAATTCTACTTGTTTATAAACTCAGGGGCCCAGTTTTAATTATCCCCCATCCTTCTTAATGTTCATTTTTCAAATCAAAATAGTCCAGAAGGGTATTAACTTACATATTTTTCTAGCATGCTGAAGTTATATGCCCTAAGGTTAAAATAACAGATTGGTGCTAGAACAGCACAAAGAAAGGGAAGAACGCATCTGAGTAGCAATGTCAGTGCAGAACACTAAAAGGGAAGCATCTGATTGAATTACTGGAAATCTAGTGAATTTGGTGTTACTCATGTCTTTCAGTGTTCTGAAACCATTTGTATCTGTAAGAGACCTAAGAACAGCAGTTAAGCTGGAGGGTGAGTGTTTTATCTCTTTATTAATGCTGATAGTCCGGCTGTGACAGAAAAGGCGCCTTCCTGGCTGCGTACCGAGGAGGCTGCCCAGGTGAGTACTGGGTGGAACACACTTTTGCAAGCGCCATCCATTCTCTGGGGAGAAGAGACTGGATGCTTGTTATGGCGTTTTTTCTCGTTAGCCTTGAAACTGATTTTGAGATCAAGGACTTTTAAAGGGGAAAGTGGAATTAAAATAATTTGTCGTACGTCTCTAACTGTACAGAGAAAAGCCGCATTTGCTGAGCAAGAGTACTCCGTGTCGCCAGCTCATTCACCAAAGCATTAGTTGTTAACACTAACACAATGAATGGGCCATAGTAGGGCAGGGAGCAGTGATGAAGGCTCGCCTCTCGGGTGCCGAACATGCGAAGTGCCGGTGAAGCGGCTGTTCCCGCCGTGCCGCGGGGCCCTCACCCGCCCGGGCACCCCCGGCAGCCGCAGCGCCCACCGGGGACCGCCAGCGCCCCGCCCCGCCCGCGCGCAGCCAACCCGCGCCCGACACGTCATCGCGCGGCGCCGGCGGCGCGCCCGGCACGTGCGGCGTGTTGTGGCTGTCACCGCCATGGCGGTGCCGGAGGTGCTGCGGCAGCTGAGCCGCCGAGCCTGGGAGCCCGCGCTGGCCCGGGCGCACCGCGCCGCCGTCCTCATGGACGCGCCCTCCGCCGAGGCGCTGCACTGGGCCGGCGGGGCGGGCGAGCTGCTGGCGGCCGGGGCGCTGGCTGTCAGCGCGCTGTCCGCCGAGGCGGCGGTGCCGGCGGGGGCGGCCTGCGTCGTGTTCGTGGTGAGCGGGACGCTGCGGGGCGGCGCGGCGGCCGCGGTGCGCGGCGTGCTGGAGCGGGGCGCCGTGCGGCACTGCGTGCTGGTGTGCGGCGACGAGGCGGAGGGCGGCGGGGCGGCAGAGCTGGAGGAGACCTTGCGGCGGTGGATGGGCGAGGGCGGCTGCGCCGAGGTGCTGCTGCGGGGCCCGCCGCTCCTGGCGCCCGTCTCGGCGGAGCTCTGCCTGCTGCCCGCCCTGGCAGCGCTCCTCCCGCCGCTGCGCGGCCCCGGCGGCCCCGGCTCCGCAGAGGTCGGGCTGAGTGCGCTGCCTGCTGAGCTGCGGGCGGCGGTGCGGGCCCTGGTGGGTGAGCTCGACTCTCTCTTCACCGCCCTCGGTCTGCGGGAGGAGAGCTTCGCTGTGGGGGCCCTTAGCAGGGTCGTTGCCGCTGAGCTGGCAAGCTACGCCTCAACCAGAAACAGGAGGAGGACAGCCACCAACAAGGCCTCTGTCATCTTCGTGGACAGGACGTTGGACCTTGCTGGTAAGAAATCTTTAGCTGGTATGGGCTGTCATTCTACACGGCCCATACCCACCCCACCGGGAGAGTGTCAGATAGTGGGAACCCGTATTCCTCTTTATACCGTGTCCTCCCGTGGGTATATAGCTCTATTTCCGGGTCCTGGGTGGGATTGTTCTTGAGATCTGGTGTGCTAGAATACACTTATTCAGTGGTTACCAGGCAATGATGGTAGAACTCTGGGCTTCTCCTGAAGCTTGGGAATACATGGCTGGGTTCAAAGCAGTAGTTCCTGCAAGTTCCACATCATCCTGCTCCAGTAGGAAAACTTGGTGTTCCAGCATTCTGCTGGTGATACCCAATGTCCTCCTTTCTGTTCCAAAACAGCTATTACCATGGGGGATATGTATATGGTAATCTTTTGTCCCAGTGTCAGTTTCATGCTTCCTGGATTAAAAGCCACTGCACTCAAGCATCCATTACTTGGATGGATTACTGACATTATCCAGTTGTTTGGAAAAGTATCTTACAGGCTGCTTCCATGACCCTAAATGCTGTGCCAATACCCCTAGTGGCAGGTGCATCCTTTCCTGCAGAAATAGCTCAAATGGTTTGGTTAAGTGGTGGTCCCTGGGGGTCAGTGACCCCAAAGTCATACTTAACTGCCCAATGAACTTTTGCTGCTTTCCTAATTAGGAGAAAAGTTGACATAACTGAGCTGGTTACTCTCCTGTTGTTCTTGGTTCGTGTTTAACATGATCTTACAGAATAAGCAGTGTGCGGTTCCATTCCACAGGTTAGTGGTTTGAAGAGTAATTGTATAAAGCCACCAAGTATGCAAACAGTTCTTCATCTGGCAACACTGGGAGCATGTTTAATCCCATGGCCATGATGGCTGCTTACACACCCTTGTATCCCAGTGGATCATAGAAATGAAGAGTAAGGCAGAAGGCTCTGCTGGAAATCCAAAATTTTGTTTCTAGCACTTCCATTTTGCTGCAAACTAGAAACCTTAACTGTGGCTGTGTACCACCTTGAGGTGTGAAGGAAAGGGTCTGCATGTTTCAGACTAAGCTTTATGGATTGCTGTGAAGTATCCAGTGAATCTATTTGTCACTCTTATCTTTATGTCTGTCTAGGCAGATACAGGTCTCTGTGTAACCCTTAGCCATATCTATATGCCTGAAAGTGTTTCTGTAGGTATGTGTATTGATATAGGAATGACTACACTTGCTATCCCAGTCATAC